GAGAAGAAAGGCCAGGCAACGTACCTTGATCGTGATGACGTGAAAGCCGATGGGGGAATCTTCAGGAATCCGCACTGCGAACAGCTGATCGGTGAAGTATGGTGGAGAGTTGACATCTTCGACAATGATATTCACACGGCATCGTCCTTGTAGACCACCCTGGAATCGGACCCTCATTGAATGACCCCGAATATCATCCATCTCGGTCGCTCAACGAACCTGATCAGTTGCTGATATTTCTAGACCAATTAGGTGATCAGTACTGTGCAACTGCCCGGACAAAGTCAGCAAAGCTCCCTGAAATCAAGCTTGCCATCGTTTTCGGGTAACAAAGACTTCTAGCAAGTGAAGATCGGAATCAAAAGAAGTTCCCGAGGACCATCCCGAAGGTGGAAGAGTTGGAAGCAGTTTCTCACCTGCTCTCCAAGATCTATTAAGGCGACGACATCTTTGTCCATATGCTCTATACGGTAGACGATTTTCTGCTCAGCGTCCTAAATTGTCGTTTTATAGAGGTAGGAGAGTAAATCAGATAGAGACACCTGATTATACGGCTTAATTTCTTTACAGTAACCTAGCGTAGCTATGGTAGCAGTGCCTTAGATGATATGTTCCTAGACTCTGTTAAGATGGACAAAGAGCCGAAACTTCCCATGCCCTCGAGAATCCTACGCTTTCTGGGAGATGTGGGTGCAATGTTAATCGGTCCTTTGCAAAACACTACCCATGTTGCTTTTCGGGAGTAGTCGCTAGTTAACTTTGCAAGTAGGCATACGGTATTTAATGAAATACCACGCTTTACCGTTGGAATCTACCGTACCCTATTGCTTGGTTTACAGCGCCAATTTCGAAATCATTCTGTTGCCATGGACAGAACCCTTTGCCGTAAAACCTACTTAATGAGCCTGCTCTGCAGCCCTTCCTTAGGGCCAACAAAAAAAAGAATGATTTTAAGGGCCCATTCAATCTGCTCGGTCCGACTTTTAATGACGGAAATCCAAAAATAAACGTGCATGAGTGCTAATGCCTCCGATACGGGATAATGGATCGCGTTAGGCCAATGCTCTTTTCTCATTCTTTCCCCCGCCCCTCCCTCAGCTCACCCCCAAATGAGGATGTATCCGATGGCAACTTTAGCCAACCGGTTCGCTGACCTTTTTGATAGAGACAGAGGATAATCCTAATGAACTAACCAAAGTCGAGGAAGGAGAAGAAGGGCAAATTAGCAAAATCAAAGCCAGGATCCCTTTTGGATCGTGACAGAGGCCGTTGAGCAAGTGTAGCGCTTGCAAAAGAGCTTTGGGCCCATCAAATTTTGGTTCAAACTGGTCGGTTTTCAAAGAAATGATTACTCGAAGTGTAGCGGGAGCATGATAAGCCATGCAACTTGCTGATTTCCTATTTTCTACAAATTAGAATCAAAGGTCAAACTGAAGACCACCGACTCAGAAGGGATCAGTAGTGAAAATCGGAACAGAAGATGGGAATTTCGTGGTGCGATGGCCACATCAACACGTTTTTTAGACATTCTTTTATGGAAAACGGATGGTGGCTTGGGAAACACAGTGCATACCTTATCCTCAGCTTTCAGCACGATAATCTGACTGCCACGGGGAGTTTCTTCAGAAAGCGAGAGATTGTACTCAGCTTTCGGGAATTCAGGAGCATTATCATTCACGTCCTTTACTATCACCATAATCTCGGTGGACGACGAGAGTGGAGGATCGCCTCGATCAGTAGCCGATACCTGAACAACTGATGATGCCAAGATGGGTAAAACAGTGACCTTTAAGTAGCTGCTCACCTGTAGGATGTACTGAGCCGTTCTTTCCCTGTCAAGCGATGTGGTAGTTCGGATAATTCCTGATTCAGGGTCAATCGAGAAGTCTGATGAGCCATTCAGGGAATATCTGAAGTGATATGTATCGTTGATGAGTAGGACCTTCCTTGAAGTTTGGACATACCTGATGATGCCGTTGTCGCCAGAATCCTCGTCGATAGCGTACACCCTACCCACTTCATCTCCGACGGCCACGTTTTCTTCAAGAAACACCTTCTTCTGGGAAGCGATGAACGTTGGGGCCTAAAAACGGTTCATTACATGCCTACTATTCCTGAGCTTACTCTGTGAAAGAGACTCTGCACTGACATGGTCATTAATGTCGACAACATAGATCAGTAGGGATACGGTGGTGCTCAAAGCTGGTTGAGCGCCATCTTTGGCTCGAGCCAACACGGCAAAAGGCGAATTTCGAGCATCTAGACGCTCTCTTAGCACCACTTCACCGGTATTGTAGTCGACAGTGATGGGCACTTGGGAAGTGGGCACAATACTGTAGTGAACCTTTCCTGAAAACGAACAATTCACGATGGACGCTCTGAAATTCGTTGCAAGACCGACCATTAATTCCGCTATCCTTGTCGGTAGCTTTCAGTCTGGCTATGGTTGCCGGCAATGTGGCGTTTTCCATGACACTGATGTTGTAGATCTCCTAAATAAGTATTTTGCTCTAGTGCGGTGATTGGGGGCCCCGATAGTGTCCTGGAAGATATTACTCCGAACTTGCTTCAGCTGTAACGTGATCTGAAGCTCAACTATGAGCTACTCTAGAGAACAACTGCCCAGGTCCTCGTCTACTTGGGAATGCGCCCTTTTGAACTCCTCGGACTGGGCTCAAGATTTGAGGCAGAATTCTTTCCTTTCCCACCAATTCCTTCAGCCAAGACCAGAGCAAACGTACCTGCTCAAAGATCGGCGCATTGTCGTTCACATCAGTAATACCTATCTCTACCAATGCCGAGCTCTTCCGTGGAGGATCGCCGTTGTCGGTGGCGATAACATCGAGCCTGAAATATTCAGATGTTGTCGAGTGGGAGGCTGGACAGAGTTTGAGCAGAGCCGTCCCGCCAGAGCTATACAACTGGCTGCATACCTTATCAGTGACTGGGTCTCCCTGTCAAGTGGAGCAGCCGTCTGGATCACCCCGGACTTGGTGTTGATCGAAAGCAGGTCATGTCCTTCGCCTTCAGCCAATGAATAGAGGATCTCTCCATTGGCTCCAGCATCAAGATCCCTTGCAAAAACAGAGAGCACAGTGGTTCCGATCTGGAAACAAAAATCAAAAGGTCCTTCTTATGGAATCAATCAGATACTTTGGGGAGTCCTCTAATTTGACTTCTATTCGAGTTCAGTCTACTTTTAACCGTTTGAACAAGCTCAAGAGAAACTTAGTAACTTTGGAGACTGGGAGAGCCTCTCAGTATGTATGAGATTCGACCTTATAGGCCCTACGAAGCGGCCTAGGCCTTTAGCCGTTCGTTGCTCCACGTCTACCTCCAGAAATAGAAAGTAAAGGTATTTTCTGAGTCACCTGACTCTTTCGTAATGCTATCAATAATAATTTCCCATGTCGGACATGATTCATTGGCAAGATGTTGTAGCCACCTTGAGCCTCCTCCCATCCCCGTGCATATTAGATTCCATACGAGAGCTAATTATCGATGCTACATCCATGTAGAAGAGGGGGAATGAGCGTGTATACGCGTTCCCGTAAAGGGTGATGGATGGTCAGTAATAACGATAATGGACCCGATAGCCAGTCGGCGGCCTTGGCCTCCAGTACCACTACGGAAGCCATCACTCCTGAAACCAATTGCTACCATCAATGGCTCAGTTGAACTCCAAAGTAAATGAGTGGACGAGTTTCTCGTCACTTCCCACGCGGATTCGCTTCCATAGAGATTGTGTCCATTGATGCATAATGCACATGTGCTTGGCGATGAATGCTTAGAGCTTGTAATTACCCTCACCTGGCCTAACGACATTATCGATCAGCAAACAGACTGTCAAGGGCTCCTGTTCCCCTGGTGGTCGAGATTAAAGCTGATTAGGAAGCCAGTAGATTACTACCAAGTAAGGAATGGCTCATGCAAAGTTTCATCAGAAACACTACAAAATTTTATCAACAGTTATCATTCATTATCACTCGGTATCATTTAGTAGCATTGCGAAACAGACTGGTAAACAAATCGATGCTGATGGCCATGTCCTGCTCTGCTTACTTTACTGATTCATGTTTCTCATATGAAGGGGCCTGGGGTAGCCTGATGTTGACCACATCCCAGTCCTTATTCAGAGGGTTGAAAATAGAAAACATCTCCTGAGAATCTACGTTCCCGAGTAAGTCCCAAGTAATAGGCTCAACTAAGGAGGATCGTTGATTGTTGACAAAACCATCCCAAATACTCACAGCTACTGCTAACTGGGAACTTCTTCAAAGAATTTTACCAGTAAGTAGTTCGAGAGCCATTAACGATATATGCATATTTTTAGGCACAACTAGCTAACCGATGCACTTGGAAGAGACCTACTGGCGTCTCTTCCCATGAACGCTTTCCATCTTTAATTAGGCCTGCCCTTTTTAGCTCCTTGAGTAGGAAGGAGTACGAGGTGCAGAATCAAGCATTAGCCAATAGTAGTAACCCATAATTCCCTTCCAAAGGATCTGATTGAAATGCTAGGTGTTTCTCAGGGGAAGACGGAGGCACGGCTTATACTGAAAATACTGGGCAAAGCTAGGGCCTTTACGTTTGTATAATATTACTGAAGACGAACAAATGTGCCCTGTTTCCCACCGCTTCTTTTTTTTTTGTTCCCAAACTAGTTGCACCGGACATCCAGGCAGTCATCCAGCATCCAACGTGCAGTCATTCAAAAAAGCGATGAATATGTAATTACCCAAATTAATTTTGGAAACTAGGCAATTCCGAGAGCCTGAGAGGGAGACATTGGGTTTTCAAGTATTTCTCAAACTCATTTCGGGATACGCCATGCACTTGCATTTATGAAACTTCAAGCTTTCGAATTAATGCATATGTGCTCCAACCTCCGGAATACACTGAAGCTCGTCACCAACTTGATTCTTTTGCTTAGAGAGTTGAATTTCCCGGATAACAAAAGTGAACCTTTCACCAATTCCCATGTAGTGGAAGGTAATCGTCTCAGGATAGAAATCGGGTCCAGTTTAAACAATAGGGGGAAGCTTTACCAGGTACGCTTCTCGGATGTAAGCAGCTGTCTTGAGTAGTCGACTTGTACTGCATTTGATTACCATACAAAATCAGATCAGCTCTGTAGGAATGAATGAAACCTGTTGAGAGGTCCCTCCCTCCACAATTCATTGCTCAACAGCACGATCCCCTTTTGGTCCCTATCCCCTCTACCGTACCCGTCAGAAACCAATAGCTGAGTCATCGGAAACTTCACTTGGAGCTACTTGGAACTGCTAATGGAGCCAATTTTTCAACTGGACAGCGTTCCACATGCATAGAATCTTGAAGACACGTTCGTCGTCCACCCTTTAAAACTCCGAAAACCCTCAAGAGCACTTCTGACTCCTTCGTTTTGGAGATTTTTCGTCGGCCTGAGTAGCGCCACTCAACTGCTTTTTGTCGGCACAATTTCCGTTCCTCTTGGGACCTACGCGTGCTGAGGAGTCCAAGTGGCGACGAGCGCGTATGTCAGCCAGCAGCACCATTTCAGCGCATGCAAATATGCCATAAATGCGTTAGTCGCCGTAATATATGATGCACTGGTGGTAACGTCAAGAAATTAACGACGCTGTCAGCATCAGCCATAGTTGAGGTCGTCCCAGTAACTAATGGTGACCATGGGAGCCGTTCCAGCCAAAAGAGGACACCTCCAGATGAAGGTGGTTTTCCCTGTGCCTCCTACCGGATGGGTACGGGTGACCGTGACCGGGACCGGGACAGGAAGTGGAGATGGATGAAAGGGGATGTCCGTTAGCAATTTATATGTGTATCGCTATCATTTGGTGTCGCTGAAATGAATTAGCGGGGCGATAGTACATCTCATCCGTCTATCCGTCGGCAAGCTGGCCGGCATCAATGCGTAATGGCTAAATAGACCAGAAAATTGCAGTCATATCGGACTTCCTATACGAGAGAATGTTACCACAATTATACTCATTTAAGAGAGGCAGCAAGTGACGACGGGAGGTCATCGACAACCAGACATCGAGGTGGACGCGGATGGCGTGTGTGAATGGCGTCAAGTTAAGCCAATTCAACGCCGCGACTCGTATGAAACCCTTCGAAGTTGACGAACAGAAAGCTTGGAAAATTCCGCTTGAAATCGGCTGAGAAGAATGTGGTCGAAGTGAAGGGTAAGGAAGAAGGAAGTGCGGTTTTTTAACCCATCAAGTTTTCCGCTCAAAACGACTGCGACTTCTGAGGCCAATCAATCCCTGAAGAATAGATTTCCTGCAATTTTCGCCATCCAAACTTAATAATCACCGTGAGCGCCTATTGTGGTAATAGATTGTTTTCGAGTAGCTTTCTCGCTAGAGGTATGAGTAAATAGTAAATAGTACGAAGAAATAACTTCGATTGGTTGTATACCTCACATAGACTTCACCTGCCTCCCTAGGCCTTTCTCCTCTCATAGCCATGGGAATATTAAAAATCGCAACATCAACAAAAAGGGTGCAATTGCTGCTGCCTGCGCGTAGAGCTCTTTTTTCAGAGGAAGTAGGCACTTTTCAATGGGAACCCCATTTTCGAGGTATTCTGCTTGAGTAATGGTAGCTATTGTGGATTGCCAGAAATAGTTCGAGCCAGAATCGAGTTCAGAACCTATCCTGCCCGTTCCTTGAGAGTACTAGGCTGGCATCAGAGCTTGGAGCTCCCTTACGCTTCCAAGGTCATAGGGCGGAAGATGTCAACCAGTAGTAAATGAGTGAACAAGATCAGATTTCAGAAGGTCTGACAGGTCGGTGAAGGACCGGCTAGCGAAAGAGGCACTTTCTCGAAGGAACTGATGGGCACAATCAGATAATCGTTCAAAAATCTTAAGAACTCTCAAAATCATGCAAATCCGGGAGCAGGCAAATGATGTTATGAAAATTCAAGTAAATCGGAGGTTTAATGAATAAATAAATAAACAAATAGATGCAAAATTGGCATCTTCAGAAGAGAGGTTGTTCTCAAAGCAATGAATATTGGTGAACACTGACAGAAAAACTCACCGGCGCATCCTCACGAATATCAGCAAAATAAGAGTCCCTTTCAAAAATCGGACTATTATCCTGCACATCTAGCACGTCAACAGTTACGGTAACACTGGACGATACGGTAGGATCGAGACGTTCGTATGCGGTCACTTTCAGTACGTGCTTGTCAAGAATTTCACGATCAAGTGACTTCGCCAAACGGATTTCTCCGGAAATCTGAATCAACAAATCAGGAGGTTTGAATCATCAGTTCTGGAGTCCTGCAGCGATATTACCGTGTCTAGGGTGAAGATATTTTGTGATCGTGAATCCTGTGGAGCAGCTAAGGAATAGTAAAGAGGCTGATCAGCTACATGAACCGCTTTCACCGTAACCACAAGCGTGCCAGGAGCCGCTGATTCGGCCAGTTCTTTGACGTAGCTGAAAGTAAAAATAGAGTTTTATGAGCATAAGGGCAAAACACAGAGCCCGGTTGGGAATGGGGGGCTCAGGGAGCGGTCTTACCTCTCCTGCTGGAAGTGTATAGTGTTCGGATCGGGATTTCTTCGCCTCAGCCAACGTTTGAATCGTCGTTGCTTTGAGAAAACTGGGTGACCGATCCGGAATTTGGCATCCAGCCGCTTACCGTCACAATCATACGTGTAGTCGATGATTTCGAAAGCAAAATAGAAACACAGTCGCTGCTTGGCAAACACCAAACCCGATTTGTCAACGGAAATCTGATCGGAGTGGATGCCAGGTGAATGGGGGCAGTCCTTACCAGGCCAATCGAATATCGGTTGACCTGGGTGCAAACATGGAGGTCTCGAGCGTGATATCCAATAGATATTTGTCGGATGAGGAAGGCAGGAATGACATTCAGCGGAAATAGCAGATGCTGATATGAATTGTGGTAGGAATAGAAATATTAAGGCCATATTTAGGTGCATATGTGAAGAATATTCGTAGTGCAGCCGTCCCCTATTCGGACATGCCTCGGAAAGGGGGCGGAGCCGCTGTGGGGTGGGTGACCAGCGAGGGAGGAGGAGGAGAAAAGATTAGGCGGCAGGTGGCAGTTGATGAGGCATAGAGTGGACATTCCATGTGGATTACCTTGTATGGACCTAAAAGCGGATCTTTTGTAACCTGTTTTATGGATGATTGGCAGTCCCGGCTACGGCTTTGCAGCCAAAACTCGTTTTTGTAGTTCTTAGTAGTAAATGCTGTGACGTTACTCCCAGACTCGGAGTCCAGAATTGCCCGAACTCACCCTGGGAATTCAGAGGATTATTTATAACGATGGATCACCACATTATTTTGATGTCGATAAGCTGCTGAATTCAGCGGTTTTAAACGCTAAAATCAGAGAAAATTAATGGATTCTCAGCAGAATAGCGTGTTTTTCATGTAGATTGCTGATGATGCCGGCCCTAATTAATCCTCGGAAATTGCTAGTGAAGGTGTTGACCTTTACACCTTTACGGCATTTGTAGGATGGGCCCATAGGTTTTGTATCCCATAGGTCTGTACCAGGGCTTTGAGACTACTCCAGAAAAGGATCATAATCCTCGAAGGAAAAGATTCTTCGAGGATTATGATCCTTTTCTGGAGTAGTCTCAAAGCCCTGGTCAGTTCCTTATAGTATGAGGGTGGTCCTACGCCTGTATAGCTTCCAGGAAATGGTAGAATGATAAATTGGTTGTAGTATCTGGTGAGACATGACATTAATAACACCCTTTGGAGCACGCCTCGTATCTGACCTCCATTAATTATAGTGGGAACGTTTGAACCTTCAACGGAACAGTAACGGTTTCGCGAAATCGTTCCGTTTTCCCCTTTTGGACAAGAATGACAGCAATTGGGTCAATCCCAAGGATTAGGAAACCTATTCGGTATGGGACGATTCGACCAACAGATGATAGGGTATGATAATGTCTGATAGTGTTCGATCACTGCTTTCGTCTTCAATCCTTACTATTTGCTGAAACTAACCTGCTCCCGGAGACGATAATCATCGGTTTCTTATAAGAAACCTAAGCAGTTACTGTTTGAGGCTATCGGTAACTATTCCATCGCGAAAACTGAACTCTTCCGGGAACGGAAGGGTCCCATAAAGAAAATCCATTCAAGCGGAATCTCAGTCAAACAGAGCCAGTGAACAATGCAGGAACGAGTCCCTCCATTCTTATGATATTACTCGCTTAGGTGTACTTTTTCTATAGGGTGGAAGAAAGGGTATCGATTGGAATTTGCTTGGGAAAGAACGAGGTCTAGACGTCCATTCAGATGGTGGACAGCGGCGATTGGCAATGTCAGGTACTTTCATTCTTCCCACTTGGTTTGAAGGAGTGATCAAAATCCAGAAGAATCATTATGGTAACTCCAACCCTATTTTTAGGTACGGTAGAAGCGATCAATAAATTCTCCCCTTTCCAAAGCATCTTTACCCATTTCCATTCGATTAAGCTCAGGAGTCATGGGCCCAAGCAAGGCTTTCTCAATAGATTGACAGGTTTTTCATGTGGGTTGTTGATGACACAGGCCCTAGTGAACCCGCAGGAATTGCTAGCGAAACTGTTGACCTTTACGGCAAAAAACCACAGCTTTTGCTTTTTTTACCCCAATTAAGTGAAAAGCTTCTTCAAAAGCTTTGCCCTCCTCTCAAGCAGGTAGAAGCGAATCATGAAGTTCTTGCAGTTTGAAAGTGGTCAGTGAGTAAGCCATAAACGTATTAAGCCTTATATCGATGTATGGAGGATATTAGATTAATACGTTTATGGCTCAATTACAGAATCAAGTCCCCTGGTTATAGCTGTCATTAGAGAATTGAAAAAAAGCCACGGCAGGACTCAAGCTCTTCTGGGGAGGGGGTGGGGGTATTCTATGTATTCCACTTCTGCATGTGATCACATTGATCATTGAATGATTGATTTTCATATGAACGATTGATAGATTTATACGATTTACGATCCATATCGCTTCGCTTCCTTTCGCCGATTTTCCTGGATTTGCTGTGAAAGGACTGATCGATTTATCGATTTACCAATTGTGTCCTACAGCTTCTGTTATCATTTAGGGTGATGTGGCAGCACTTCAAAATCTATAGAAGGCGTGTTTGGGGTAATGAAGGGAGCACCCATATCAAACTCCTCACCCAACTCTACTGCTGTTAGAACACCCGGGAAGAGGCACCTTGTCCTACTGCCTCCGTCTGAATACTTGAGCGATCAAATCCTTGAGCAGCAGGTACTAATAAATCTTGATTAGTCTTTACTGTGTGGGCCAGACTGGTCCTGACAATCCTATGACGATCATGATTTAATGATATTAATAAATCGGGATGACGAAAAACGCAAAGATGCCATTTGCGAGCCAATTCTATGTATTTCCTTAACATGGCAATGATATCTTCATTGCAACAGATCTCACTCTTAGCTGGTTTTCAGCACACCTCAGGCAAGACGTCTCATCTTTTTTGGAAAATGGCTCCTACACAGGCTTGCCCTCACCTTCCCATACAAAAAGAAATGAAAAATACAATAATTTCACATTTCTATTAGAGCAATCGGTTGCAGTACGAGCCCCACTGCGCTTTTCAATGCAGTTTTTTGCTCTCCATCCTATCTGAAACAACATGTTGCCCCTCAGTAAACAAAGCTTCTACAATTCCAATTTCCTCTCTTCTTAGGGGACAAAGACATTTGTTCGAAACAGTTTGAATACATGTTTGCGTTAGATCTTTCTTCATTAAACCCATTAGCTCTACTTAACGACCATTTATCTTTAATTAAATCTGAAAGGTACCCTTTGCCTTTTGTCTTGATTTTCAAGTGATCATCCTTCAAACTCTGCTCGCAAAGAATTACGAGCAAAGGACGTCCTTGAAGGTATCTCTCTACATTCACTAACGTGTTTCCTTAAAACAGTTGTATGACAGTTTCGAAGATCCTTGTCATATAACGCACATCTCATGGGCCCTCTGATGCCCCCCTGTTTGTCCTCCCTGGAATCCAACTCCTACATGGCCCATCGTCTGTCATCTCTACATTTCTGTGTAAAAGTAACTCATGGTTTTGCTTGGAATTCTTCCTAGTCGAAAATGAAAAATCTCAAGTGGAATTCAGATACAAAAGTATTTGCTGTCTAAGACACACTTTTTGTTATGGATACTGACAAGAAATCGACATTGGGCTGCTAAAAGACAATGGTATCGAGATTTCGAGAAGATGAAATATTTTACCTTCATTTAAAAGATAACTCGCCATCATACTGTAGGAATCAACCCCAGCTCCCATTCCCATATAGGTTGCCATGTGAACTGACGAAAATCGCCTGGACCGAAAATCTCTCGAGAAAATTTAAGCAGGGATGGGGACCAGTTGCATAATTGACCGCTTTTATTTGTTGCAGTTCGCTGAGCAGATGCTATAACAAATGTGACAAAGAAAGGCTGGTACTGGAAGAGAAAAGAAGCCGTAAAGATGTTTCAAAAAAGTTCCATTTTCCAAAATATCAAAAATATTCTTCGAGGACTTTGCTTGGGGTGCTCTCTGAAGGATCACTGGCGATTTGCAGTTGTGGGAATTCCTCTCGGGTACATTTTTCATTTTGGTCATCACTCGCACCATCGAGAACGTCAACACCGGACGTCCCTGGGGACAAAGAGCTTTGAATCGCATGGAGAGCACTCCACTAATTGGTTCCTCTCGTTGACGAATTGAAATGCGCATCAGAATTCGTCTGCGAATATTAAACGTGTCCGTGAGGTGATCGCTGACGAACGGAGCTACCCAGATTTGACAGGAGAAGCGAAATGGGAAGCTACTATCAGGGTTTGGAAGATCTCTGCTCTATTTTAAATTTCAGAATGGGATCTAGGCCACCCTTGCAAAAGGAGAATCTGGGGTTTATAGGAGGAGGGGTACTTAAGCAGGTACACCGTCTTCCTTAACGGACTGAAGCTCCCAACTCTTTTAGTTTCAATTTTCAGCCGGATATCCTAATTCTTATACCAAACTTTGGGTATAAGAACCCTTTGAGCGGTAGAAAACCCTTCAAGAGAGCGGGGAGGGGTGCTCTCGCTTCCATGATCCAGCTGAATGGGAGGGATAGCTCTTCGTGAGACAGTGCCGGTCATTTATGTTCTATTGCTCTTGCTCAGTCACTTCTAATTTCACCTGACAAGATAAGTACCCAACATATTTCAATGACATTGGGTACCAGACTAGTCTGGGGAGATAAAGTCACAACCTCGTAGATTGGCTGGTCACACAAGTCAATGAATAGCAGGACGGTGTCACATCTCTCGTTATTATCGGCTGATTTCAGCTTTTCACCTTTCAACCCTTTACCCATAGTATTTTTGCTCTTTAAATGATTTCCTTTTGTTAAATAGCAGCGTGCACATCCAATGGCTACTACAATTTCAAATGGAAGTCGATTGCGGATCGTATCCGACCCACGAGAAAGTTTCAGCGCAAAGCACACTTTTGGCTTCTCTTCTTCAGCGGTACGTGGAAGGAGTGGAACTCAGAAAACATTTTTCCCTGAAGGATGGTGTCACATCTCTCGTCATTATCAGCTAATTTCAGTTTTTCAGCTTTCAACCCTTCACTTATTGTATTTTTGCTTCTCTATTGATTTCCTTTTGTTCAGCCAGAAACGTTTGTTGACCTTTGGGTTCTTGCTCATTTTCGCGGTTGAAGTGGAGTTGCTGTCATAAACGTGCATGATTCAGACCCAATATGCTACGTAATTTCGTCCCCGTTTCATTCTCTTTAATTAGAAGAATGAATGACGAGGCCGTCTGTCATATTTCGTAACTCTGATCGATTGTCAGCAACCAGACGAGATGAGAAAAATTGGGGACATGTGGCTAAACAACAATCCAGACCATCCATTCCCAAATTCGTACTGTAGTACTAGTCGTAAAATAATTACTAATAACGTA